CACACACAATCCAACACACACACACAATCCAACACACACACACAATCCAACACACACACACAATCCAACATACACACACAATCCAACACACACACACACAATCCAACACACACACAACACGATCCAACGCACACACAATCCAACACACACACACAATCCAACACACACACACAATCCAACACACACAACACGATCCAACACACACACAATCCAACACACACACACACACATGTGTGTGATGGGATGTCTCTGTGTGAAATCTCCTAACAAGTCAACACTTGACTGTAAAACAGAGAAAATTTGTGCACCTGCTTTGATTTCTAGGAAGTCCTAAAAAGATTTTCATGTATTTGCGTTTTCGCTCATCTATCTCCATCTCTTTTTCGTTATGAGAACAGCCATCTTTTCCACCGCATAGTTTGCATTTTTCCAGTAAGTGAGCGTTCCGGTGTTTATTTTCATAGCCTACATATAAGCTTGTTCCTTCAGGAACATTTTGATATTTTTCCTAAATGGACTGCTTTCAATTTACAGCATGAAAATTGCCGCTTTTGAGCGTTCTGTAACAATTTAGCTATTTTTGAACCTTGATTTGAATAGATAATGCTATTTTTTTGCAAAATTCAAAGATCTGCGGGTAATTCAAAGGTTTGGCTAACGCAGCTGTCTGGGAGTGGAACACGAAAGTATAGAAAGATCTGAGTGTCAAATTTACGCTAGAGTAACCAGTGGTAATGCTACTAGGAGCAAATCATGGGTCATATGGCCAATGTGCACCACAACGTTTTTGATTTGGCTTGTGGTATAGCCATATGAACCTTACATAGCGCGTGGATGGCCCTCTTGTGCTAACAGTACACAAGACTTCTCACTTTTATGCGATCAGCATGCCCCCATCGGTGCAATGATCGGATGCTGACTGTAATAGGTGGAGCAAAGGTGGTCAGGAAAATCTGTGCACTTATATCACAACAGGTCCCATAAATTATGATCTCTACTGTACTTAGGCTAGAGCTAAGGAGCGTGCTTAGATCGGTACACCAGAAAACACATGTTCTGACCAAATTGTAGCACACGACTTCACCATAGAGGAATGTTGAGAAAACTGTCAGATAAATAATCAGAGAATAAGGAATTCTGTTACTTAGTGTAGAAACGAAATTGGGTCAAAAAGTGTTGGTATTAGACAAACCAATCTTCTCCAATCGTACAACTGCCCAAACGTTTATTGAAGGAATTGGTGGGGAAACCACTCGTCCTCTCATCAATATTTGGATGTAACTTCGTTGTAAGATTGATTTTTGGTGGTCTGATAGGAAAGTCGGCAGGGAAGTCAATGTTGACTTGGAAAATCACTACTGATAGGTACATATCACATACAGGGACCAAAAATACCGTCGAATAGAGAAAATTGACTCGTCCCATTTAACACTTTCGCAAACCTTCCTCCACAGATTTCGGATCCACCAGTTCCTAAATGTGAGCTCATCTTCTTCTAGAGCCTGTTCGAGTTCATTCAAAATTTGAATGTGCTCGTGTCAAATATATCTAAGTTCAAAAAAGTCAAACTGGATCTTCTGAGTTGCCTAGACGAAACCATTCTGAATACCACATCTTGTTGTTTTGTTATTGCTGATTGCTGTTATTGCTTCCCGCATGTTCGAAGCTGCCTATATTGCCATATTTTTAATTTCTGATTGATGATCATGATGATATATCAAACTTTGCCTAGATTTTATAATAAATATGGCCGAGTCCTTACACTGGTGCTGATAGAGTTGAATAGATTTTCAAACCTGTTCGGAGCAGAACTCACAAACATATACAATACCGCTCATAAGTTCTAAAAAAACGTGATTTCACATGAAAATCTGTCCCAGAGTGTCACTTGGTCATAACTTCTTCCGGAATAATTATTTTTTGAAAAGAAAAACGGCGCTAGATTCAGGTTGTTGAGAGAAATCTACCGGTATGTCAAACTACTGTAACATACAAGGTATACGATAGGCATACGGAGGAGGTCAACATCGCGAACCCGTCTAAAACGTCGCTTAGGGTTATCTGGTACGCTATTTGTAAAATTATCCACTTTTTACGGCAGCGCCTTACTGTAAAGATACGGTAGGCATGCGTAGAAGTCACCACCGAACAACCACGGACAAATGGTCTCCATGGCTTTGCTGGCGAAAATCTTTTGGCGTACTTTTCCATTACCATGTTGCATAAATGGTGCTGAGTTCTGCTGATGCAGTGTTAAATTTCTTTTTCAATGCAAGCGTGCTTGTGGGCTTGTTGGCCTACACTTTTGACTTTAGATAATCCCTTAAAAAGAAATTCATTAATGTAATATCACACGATCTAGGGGTCATTTCTTATCATTCTCCGAATCTTGCTCCACAGAACTATCTTCTTAGACCATTCTTCACTCATATGCATGCCATAACAAAGTTTTCCCAGAAACTGACTGAAACATACCCGAGACAAGCTATCGACTTTTAGCGTACATTTATGAACAGATTCATAAAAAAATGACATGACAAATGACAAAAGCATTCCAAACATAAACGAACATTGTGACTTGATTAACGTTATTCTCATCAATTCAAAAAAAGACTTTTTTGCCAAGATTTCAAAAATAACGATTAATACGACAAAGAGTACATGCTGATGTGCGATTTTTGTTGACGGAACATTCTGTTTCTCCTCTGAAAATCAAACAAAATCGGGAGACCTGAAATCATGATAAAAGTGTTTTTGTAATTAAACAAAAAAGCAGTCAACTACAAGGAAATTGCGAAAATCAAACATACAGCAGAAAGCACAAGAATTCTTGTAAGAGTAACAACGAACGGAGCGCTGCATGCCAGGAGTAAGTTTTTTTTTCTGCACATAGATTTCGCGCAATCTTATCCGGAGACTCTTGACAGCATTTATATCTTTAGCTTAGAAAAAGTTGTTAAAACTCAAGACTTCACAAATTAGTGTAGAGACCAAAGTAAGCCAAATTGCATTTGTTTTGTTTATGCACTCTAACATGATGTTTTTTTTTTTTGGAATTTCAGCATAAATCTATCTTATGATAATGAGATGCATGAAAAAGCAAAAACAAGTATGTAAAACCAGCAGAAACTTCGAGGCAGAAAATGCATCAAAGATGGAATTAATAAACGGACCTGGTTTGCAAAACAATGTATGGCTTTCAAAAGAACCTTGAAGATTCGAAAACAAGAAGTAAATTCTCTGCGCTGAAGTCTTCCTAAACTTCATCTTCGCGAATAGTTGTTGTCCTTATTGTTGGCTTTGGATCGTCGCCAGAGATGGGAACCACGTTTGCAATGCGAAATCCAGAAGATGGCGCACGAATTGGAGACCCTTTCTGTGGTGGAAGTTCGTTATTCAGCTCCATCTTTAAAATTTCTTCATGTAACAGAGCCTGGAACTGATAATGTTCTTACAAAAAATGTTCTCTCAAAATGTTTTTACATTCTTTTTCCTACAACAACCTTATCTATGTATCTACGCCCACAGACAGCTCTTTTATTTGAAGACATTAATTCTAACGGTGTTTTATCTTTATTCCATAGTTTAGTTAGTACATCAATGATAGAGTTATAAGTTAGCAATTTATGTCACTTCACCTTTACGTCTTACCTCAAGCAATACTATATCAGTCTGCGTTCCACGATTACGAAGATGCATTTTCTGCTCGGAAAGCTCAGCAAGTCTCTTTTTGGAAGATGTAGGCATAACTTTATAGAGCAGCCTTGATTTCAATGGCATTCTGGATATTACAGCATCTAAGGATCGAGGATCGAGTTCTATAACACAATATATGAGAAACACTAAATTCTTCCAGGTAAACTACATCCCACCTTCTTTTTTGGCTAATTCATCGGCTCCTCCCTCAACAGAGTTTACATTACCAGAACTGAGATGCTTCACGTCCTTTTCGGTAATAGCTCCATCATCAGCAGCTTCTGCTAGAGCATTCATGTATTCGCGGTCGATGTTGGCTTGCATTCCCTAATATGAGCTGTTTAAGCATAGAAAGAAGATACCACAGTTCTTTCCATAGTAGAAAACTTGATTAGGTTTGAATATCGAAAGACAAGCATAGTTGAGAGCTGAACCTGGACGACTATGTTTTGTAAAATGCAATCAGAACTCTACCGATGCCAGAGCCTCAATCTGTTGCTGAATTAATGTGAGCACGGTTGAAACTAGAGATAGTCCAATTAGTAGTAAGAATCCAACAAGCACAATGAAGTCATACTCCGACGGGAGGACATCTCCGAATCCAATAGTTGTAAAGGAAATTAAAGTGAAATATAGTGATGTTCCTAAAATTAATTAGAAATTTTTAATAACACTTTAGTTTCCACTTCATAACATACCATAACTCCAATCCTCGAATAGCGTAAATATCCACGCACAAATGAATACCCATAGAATTGTGAGGAAAATGAGAAACGAAATGGGAAATGATAACAAATCCTCATCGTCAAGAGATGAAGAAGATTGGGCCACTTTTTGTCCCTCATCAAATCCGACTGCTGCGTTTACCTATATCTTCGAAATAATTATGGAGTTATCATTGTAGTAACAATTAGTGTCTATGTTTTCGCTATCTTAATAAACTTTAAGATTTCAAAGCTGCTAGATGCAAAATTCTCGCATGGTGTCAATAGTTAGTTAGTTATGACGGACGGGAAATCTTGAATACTCGTCTAATCATTGAGAATAATCTATAACTGGAGCTCGACTTGTAGGTGGACGAATGCCTCGAAAGCGTACCTTTTTCTCCAGGTCTTTGCTTACAACATTTGTAGATTTCAACATGTACTTCCACATCACTTTACATATTCTCGCAAAGATTGCCCCGAGGGCGAAAAGGGTAAGCACAGCAATAGGTATGCCAATGAACGCGTAAATTATCGTCAGTACACGACCAGCTGCAGTTACAGGAACAATATTTCCATAACCTAAGGAACAAATCTCATTTCACATTCAGCTTTTTACATTTGTTAAAAAATTACCTATTGTAGTATAAACTGTCATGCAGTACCAAACAGCACCCCAGAAGTTCCACCGTGTTTCTTCTGGATTCACCTTAATCAATGCGCTATAGTTTTGGAGGTAAAAAACAAGGGACATGAGAAATCTTACTGGCTCTACGCCAAGCTTTTCTTGAAACCTCAAAAGATTCCTTCTTGTATGATTAAGGGCTGCCAGCGGTTGCATGCCTCTCACGTTGTTCAACCGATACACTGTGTTCTGAATTGTTTCGGATAGTTCACTTAATAGATGCCGCTGGAATTCGGAAACTCGATTGGCCTACTTCAAAAAGTTCATTCCTCTGTTTTTTGAGAACTTCCAATTCGTATTGTTCATTTGGACCTTCTAACTCACTAAAGAGTAGGGCGCCAAGTAACGTGTAGAGGATAAGGCCAAAAAGAGGCAGGAGGGCTGAAACAGGCGCTAAAGAATTTTCCAATGAAAGAAAATTCTTGGCGCACTTTGTGCGACATCTCTATTAATCTAGAACATGTTGCGTATGCATCCTTCTTTTTTAGGAAAGATTGAACAGTCTCTCTTTCGTATATCTTATGGGATATACAGTAAACTTTATCCAAAAGAAAATTATCAATTAACAATGTTATACCTTTTGCCTGATTCTGGAGACTACGTAGCAAACGTGAACATGTATGAGCGATTGGAGCCGACATAGCCAATACGCGAAATGTTTGCTCCAGACACGAATCAAGAAAGTACAGGCAGTCGCGAGGAGGAATTCTGAAGAGAAGGTTCACAGGAATGGTAAAGTGCTCGAGATACTAGGAAATAATGAGGGATAACGGACTGGAGTAATGCTATGACTAACATCTGGCTCTCTCAAAGCTTAATTAGTGGTTCTTTTGAGCCCTTCAAGATAAGGTATTACTTCGGATGGAAGGTAATTAGCACGAGTAAACTCTTCTTTATCTCATCATGCTTGCAAAACCCTAGAAGGCCCCCCAAGGTCTTTTGCAAGCTTCGTACCAACAATTTCGGTTGCTGATCTGCAATGTAGTTAGGGCCGGTAGCAGATTTTTCTACAACTTCAACCATTTCAATGTCTCGAATTGTGAAAACTTTCGGCAGACAACATTGTTTCAATCCGATTCGACTATCCTAAATCTGTTGGATCATAAATAAATGAACCATATGCTTTGTTAGATTTTGAAAATCAAGTTTAGGTAAGCTGAGAATGATTTTCTTATGTAATATATCTAAGTTATTAGCGAATTATATACTCGCATTCAAGCAGTTTGGAGGGAAAAAGATTAACAAAATAGGCAGATATCTGCTTCTTTATCTGATGTTATTAATCTATATTGAAGATTTCCACATATGTAATTCACAAGAGAAACGCAATCACGCACTCTTACAAAAATGATTTCATATTAAAACTTGCATGTTAAGAACCAACAAAAGTAAAGGTAATCTTGAAAGAAGGTGAAGATTATCGTAAGCCGACAAAATCTGTTCTAACTTATCCACTTCTGCTAGCTATTAGTTTTTCCATACTGCAACAAGTGCAAAGGACAACTGCACTGCATTTATGAAAGAAGTATGGAAAGTATTAATGGGTGTTTGCTTTTATGAACTGCGCTTTTCAAGTGATGCTAAACCTCTGCAAGTGAGCAAATTGTTTACGAAATAAGGAAAACTTTATCGACCAGTTCGTGATTCAAAATCGTTACAGGGCTGCTCAGCCTTTTTTTATATCAACGTTTCGAACAAGCTAGCACCGTCACTGAAAATCTTGCATCAAAAAAGAGTAAGAAATAAATGAAGCGCATGCACAATACAGCAAATCGCTATCTTTCTCGAGGTTACAATATCAAAACACTTTGGCGAAGGATTTCAAGTAAAAAAAGCTAATATAGGGTTACAGATTTGTCTTACTTAGGGCGCCAATGCGACTAATATCGAAAAATATGGTGGCTGTGAGCGAATTAACATTCAACTGTACTTGATTTGTACTTGACAAGTCTATCTAATTTACTAACAAGCAACCTAAGCATTTATATAGTCTCCACTATCTAAACCATTCTCTACCTAAAATATCTCACGCGAGGATGAAAAAAAGTGTTGAAAGTAGCTTGATTGATTTTCTTTATAAGAAGTGTGGCAAGCTAACAGCTGTGGTACAACATAAA